TGGAGTACAGGATCAGGTTTAAGGTGCTGGTTTTAACCTTCAAAGCCCTACACGGCCTAGGACCCTCGTATCTACGGGACCGCCTCTCCTGGTATGCCCCACAGAGGAACTTACGGTCCTCAAATAAAAACATCTTGAAGGTCCCAGGCCACAGAGAGGTTAGGCTGGCCTCAACTAGAGCCAGGGCTTTTTCGGCTGCGGCTCCAACCTGGTGGAACGCTCTGTCACAAGAGACAAGGGCCCTGCAGGACTTGACATCTTTCCGCAGGGCCTGCAAGACAGAGCTGTTCCACCAGGCCTTTGGTTAGGGCACAGCCTGACTCCCTCCTTTGGCAATCTTTACAATACTTTAGTTTATGGTTGCCATCAATTTTGATTTTAATTAATTCTTATGATGTTTTATAATGTTGCACTATTTTAGTGTTGTTAGCCGCCCTGAGCCCGGCTTCGGCTGGGGAGGGCGGGATATAAATAAAATTTATTATTATTATTATTATTATTATCTATGCACTAGACCCAAATCCATCTTCTACGAAGCAAATCCCATTTATTTTAAAGGAGCTTGCTGCCTTGAAATACTGATTGGCTTAGGATGCCAGGCCTGGTTTGTGAGCTTTCATAACAGGAAATGAAATCTTAGGTGTGTTTGATTCTATTGTTCAGGCAACAAAATATTAAAATGTGTTTTGAGTTCCAACAGTTTACTAAAAGGGACATACCAGCAGCATTTAATCTTGGCTGAATATTTGGTTCAAACTCCTGATCCAGAGATGGAACGTATCCAACCTGAAAACATACCTCACTTGTTGCATGACTTTGTGTAGCTACCAGCCTGGCAATTCACCTCAAGCGTTTGGTATCTTACTTCTTAAAATGTGTTGATACCAAGCTGGTGGTTTTGTTCTGATATCTTTTTAGAATACAGTGGTACCTCGGGTTAAGTACTTAACTCGTTCCGGAGGTCCGTTCTTAACCTGAAACTGTTCTTAACCTGAAGCACCACTTTAGTTAATGGGGCCTCCTGCTGCCACCGCGCCGCCAGAGCACAATTTCTGTTCTCATCCTGAAGCAAAGTTCTTAACCCGAGGTACTATTTCTGGGTTAGCGGAGTCTGTAACCTGAAGCGTATGTAACCCGAGGTACCACTGTACATCCTGTCTTGGCATAGCCAACAAGGTCCCAGCAGCACAGCCAGTGGGCGGGAATTGTAGGAGTCGTAGCCTAACAACGTTTGGAACGTTCATGTTGGTTGCCAACCTTCTTAATCGCAAAGTCACTCTCTCTGAATCCTTCTTTAGCTAGAGCAACATCTGCGCACAAGGGGAGTGGATCACCAGGCTAGGATGAACCTCAGTGTTTGCAAAAGTACAAAAATATTTAGAGAGAAAAACATCCAGGGCGAAGGCACACCAAAAGAGGACTGAGCATTCTCAGTAGGAGAGGGGCCTTTGAGGTGGTGGGACGGACTCTCTCTGCACCACAGTGCTGATTTGGAACCAGGGTGGTGGGTGAAGAGATACGTTTGCATTTTTGTTAGAGACGTGTGGTAGGTTCTGGCTGCATTTTAAAAACAGCCTGTTTAACTTGCAGTGTGGCCCAGTGTCTTTCGCCCAAACCTAGCTAAAGTTTGCTGTAATGGTGCATTGCATTGCTTTCAACGGGGTTTAATCCCGATGATCTGTATCTTTACTGGGCTAGAAGGTATTTGGACTAGCCTCAGCATCCCTGCAAAGGCACATGAGGCAATAACTCTGCTTAAGCCGAGCAGTTCTGGGTCTGGTCAGTGCCTGGATGGGAGGCAGTCTGGGAACCTGTTCTACAGCCTTCAGAAAAGCAGGGTGTTTCTACAAGTAAACAAATAAATCTCCCTGTTGAAAAGGATCTTGCACGAAAGACTAGGGGTTGTGTTCAGCTAACTTCTGCTTGTAGGAGACGCTTTGGAATTGATGGTCCATAATGTTAATTATGGCCAATAATTTCAGCTGAGTAAATGAGGGTTGAATGCAGCCCTAGAGCACAAAGTCGTGATCGGCCATGTTTTTAGTATATCGGTATCTGAATAGTCTTGTTCCTCCAGATTCTGCTAACGGCTGCTTTAGATGCCTCTTTGGCAATGTATCTGAAAAACCATAACTTCAAGCAGTGTGTCTAATTAGGAATAATGCCTGTGATTCAAACAATTACTTTTTCTCATGTATGTAGGCCAAATTTTGATTTCCACAACTTTCCAGCAGTAAGCTTTAGGGTGTAGAAGAGGGCAGGCATATGATAGCTCTAACCCAATGGAGAGCAAAGTTTTCTCGTTAGTTCTTAGGCCCATAATTGACTTGCAGCTTTGTGCATGTGTTCTCTCACTAGCTTGTTTCTTCCCCGCGCTGCAGGGAGCAGGGAGCCCTGGACTTTGTTTTATAGCACATTCCTTCTCTGCAAACCTTTTACCTATTCTGTTCCGTCTCAATCTCTCCCAGCTGGAGATATTCCAAGTCGTGGGATCTTCGACAGCAGAGGGAGTTTTGAGTCGAATACAACCCAGGAGCATTTGATTTCTCACATCGCCCATTACTTATCCCTTTCAGACTCTGATGTGGAGTTACAAGGGAGAACAAGACTCAAAGTCTTTGAAAGCTGCCACCCTACCCCTCTTTCTTTCATTCAGGTGCTTATGCTGACAAATCGTAGGTTTGTATTCTCCCCACCGGCCCATGAGCATTTCATGATATATTTGAACTTTTAGCATTGCTTTTTGCAGAAGAAAAATCCTCTGGAGAACAGGAAGTGATGGTGGAGAAGTGGGTTGAAGCTGTTCAGTGCAGAGGTCTCGTGCTTCAGAAATCAATTTAACGTTGCTGTATAACTGGGCTCTCATTCACTTTAAAAGCTTGCTTCATTTTTCTGCCCACAGCAGTCTTGAGATGGTGTGTTACCTGGAATAGCAGCAGTCCGCCAAATTGCAGGAACTGGTCTTGTTACCTTATGAGAAACTGAGCATTTCATTAATATCTAGGCACCTGCGCTGACATGCAAGAAACCCATTGAAACAAGATGTAGCCTTTACTCTCAATGTGTAATGGAAAAACCAAGTTTCTATTCTCCTGCCCCTTTAAGGCAGGACTGGGGAGCTTTTTTCAGACTGACGGCCACATTGTCATCTGGGCACCTTTCTGGGGGACCATCTGCCAATAGTACCAATAGTGGATGTGGCCAGAGGCAAATTTTTCCTTTGTACAGTGGGCTAGTATTGGCACACACTTGCATACGTACATGTATGCCAAGAATTCAAGGGCATATTCCAGCCAGGCAAAAAATACTCAAGGAGGGCAAGAAGTAAGCCTCCTGTGGGAGAACAAATGGAGATGAGGAGGGGGTGTGACAAGTGAAGAATCTTAAGTGCCAGACAGAGAGGTCTGGGGGGGCTGAATTTGCCCCCCTGCCTGGGGGCAGAGGCCTCTCACCCTGCAAGGAATTCCTTCTCTGCTTAACAGTCTCTCCTCCTCACTAAGAAGAGAAGAGACACATCAGATTTACACATCTCATCAAATTACACTTTTGACGAAGCCAGCTCTTTGCAGTCAGCTTACCTGCAGCCTCTCACACACTCTTTCCACCCTTTCCATTGGATCCTGTGAACTGCCCCAAGTGATGAAGGGCACTACATAAATCACATAAATAGTAATAGTAATGTTATTAATAATAATGCTGCTGACCCCTCTTTCTTACACTCCCACTCCTACAAGAACCCAACTTTAAAAGGGGAGATTGTGACATAGTTGTGTAACTACTGGGATTGATTCTTATAAGGTTGATTGATTATTCAGGTAATTCAGAAGCTCCAGAAGGCATGTAGTGCCTGCCTCCTTTTTGGAACTGGGAACGTGCTCAGTCGTTTTGCAGCAATTCTACTGGTTATGCCGGCAGACAACATTCAGCCTGCTAGTTTCTGCTTTTGCAAAGCCCTTTTTTTGAATGGCACCCACGTTTTAAAAGCTGCCTCTTCCTGTCTGAGGCCCCATCACAGCACAGTTGGTCAGAGAGGTAACCCAGAACTAAATCCTCAGTTACATCCAGGGTCTGCTGCAAGTTGCAGGTAATTCTTGAAGCAATTGGGAACAGGTACACACCAGAGAGACGCTGCCTTGACGGGAGAATCTTTTACCATGTAACTTTGAGGAAGGCTTGTTGTTGTTTAGTCGTTTAGTCATGTCCGACTCTTCATGACCCCATGGACCAGAGCACGCCAGGCACTCCTGTCTTCCACTGCCTCCCGCAGTTTGGTCAAACTCATGCTGGTAGCTTCGAGAAACACTGTCCAACCATCTCATCCTCTGTCGTCCCCTTCTCCTTGTGCCCTCCATCTTTCCCAACATCAGGGTCTTTTCCAGGGAGTCTTCTCTTCTCATGAGGTGACCAAAGTATTGGAGCCTCAGCTTCAGGATCTGTCCTTCCAGTGAGCACTCAGGGCTGATTTCCTTAAGAATGGAGAGGTTTGATCTTCTTGCAGTCCAGGGGACTCTCAAGAGTCTCCTCCAGCACCATTGAGGAAGGCTATCTTCAACCAAACCACATAGTACATTTAATTGTTTTACACCCCGCAAGGACTATTAATACTGGATGAAGATTTACCTTTGAGTACCATTTGAGGTTTTGCCTCTTATTTTGCTTCCTTCAGTTCCTAAACAAGCCACCTTCAAACCAGAGGTTGTTTTAAACCGCTATTTCAACTGTTTTTGCATTATGTGTGAACCAGTCTGCTAAAGTTTTGCTCTTCTTCCTTAATTCTGACATGTAAACAGGGGTTTTACTATGCTGGCAATCTGCAATCTTCTCAGGTTTTCATGAACCACTGATTTATCCTAAAGGGATAATTTGCTGCAACTAATAGCATGTTACTGATAAGGTGTTCAGTCAACTTCCATCCAAATTTTAAAGTAGGAGAGTTTTATAAGGACTGGCTGGTGGGGATAAAAAATGTAAATGTGTTCATATGGTTTCCTCTCTTACAGGCAAAAGTGCAGTTCTGAAGTGTCTGTTAGATATTCACAAGATTTTTCGAGAAAATGATCCTGCATATATTCTTAATGACCTTTATATCACAGATTACTGCGTTTGGATTCAAAAAGCCAAGTAAGTTTTATGTCTTGTCATTCTCTTGATGAAAGCATTTTTGGTATGATTGATCCGGTATTCAAATTCCTTATTGCAAATGGCATTGTTTTCTTGGAAGGCAAAAGCAGAAACTTTTAATTGAATTCTACATTGAGGATAAGATTTGCTTTCTTCAGACAAGTTGCATATACACACACATACAACACACACAAAAGTAGGCTGCGAGTGTTAAAAAAATTCCTGTGTTGTGACAATTTTGAGAACCAGGAAAATGGCTTAACTACGTTAAAGTAAAATTGCTAAGCAGCGTTTTGCAGAGTGCAATACAAACTCATTCAGCTGAGGAGATATATTGTAGGCTTTTCATATTGTGTACCAAAGAACTCCCAAATTCTGACAAAAAAAAAGATTATGCAGTGTCTTTATTTTGCATAAAGGCACCTAATCTGTAGGCATTTATTCTGAATCAAAAATCTTGATTGCTTGCAAATCTGGAAGCAAAAGAGTATTGTGGCCGAAAGGAAAGGCATGGCTAAATATGGATAAGCGTATTTGTGCTGAGGGTAAGTAAAAGTGTTTGAAAAAATGATGGAAGGGATATGCTTGAACTATGGGGTCTTTTGCAAGTCTTGTCTCCATGGTTTCAAATATAATTGCCACCACTGGGCTTTGAATCTTTTTCTCACTGAGAATCATGAATTGTTGTTGTTGTTGTTGTTGTTGTTATTAAAATGTGTATACCACCCTTCATCCGAAGATCACAGGGCTGTTCACAACATAAAAATAGAAAATGAGAATGCAAAATATATAATCTTCTACATCCAATCTCTCTTACTGAGTAGTGTTCTCACTTTCTAGTTTACTGTCTAAATAGCTGCAATCAACAAACTAATAATAAGTTGGTTGTCCTTCCTCCTGATTTCATCTAAATCACACTAAGGCAAACTTCAGATTATATAAAGTTTAATTCAAGTTATAAAATGTAGAACCATATCTTAGAAAGTTTGTGCCTTAGAGCAGTGGTTCCCAACTGGGATAGAGATATCAACTTTTCCAAAAGTAAAGGGTCCATGGCTTGGCTTTCGAAAAACAGGGGGCCTGCAGTACTTAGCTTATTGGGAACCACTGCCTTAGAGCATGCCCACCAAAGGTGTAATAAACCAGCTTTAACTTTTTTCGCTCTATAGGACGCACCGGGCAACAGGACGCACCTTGTTTTAGAGGGGGGAAAACAAGAAAAAAAATTCTCCCCCTCTCTGCCCAGCGCCCCTTCAGTGAAGCGGCAGGAGGCGCGCAGAGAGGGGGAGAATTTTCCCACTCTTGTTTTCCCCCTCTAAAACAAGGTGCCGTTTAAGGTGCGTTCAGTCGCCTTCAGGTGGCTACCTTGGAAGCCTGGAGAGCGAGAGGGGTCGGTGGGCACCGACCCCTCTCGCTCTCCAGGCTTCAGGTTCTTTTCGACCTGCTCTTTGGGGCTGGCAGGGGGAAGCCCACCACCAGCCCCAAAGAGCAGGTCAGGGAGCGGGGAAAGGCGCGCAGCGGAGAGGCTCCTGCCATAGTCGCGCGTCACCTCTCCAGCTGGGAGAGGGTCGCGGGGGGGCTGCTTTAGCCCCCCGCACGCTCTCCAGGCTGGAGAGGTGACATGCGGCTATAGAGGCTCCTGCCATAGTCGCGCGTCACCTCTCCAGCTGGGAGAGGGTCGTGGGGGGTTGCTTTAGCCGCGCGTGCGCTCTCCCGGCTGGAGAGGTGGTGTGCGGCTAAAGAGGCTCCTGCCATAGTCGCGCGTCACCTCTCCAGCTGGGAGAGGGTTGTGGGGGGCTGCTTTAGCCGCGCGTGCGCTCTCCCGGCTGGAGAGGTGGTGTGCGGCTAAAGAGGCTCCTGCCGTAGTCGCCGCTCACCTCTCCAGCTGGGAGAGGGTCGTGGGGGGCTGCTTTAGCCCCCCGTGCGCGCTCCAGGCTGGAGAGGTGACATGCGGCTATAGAGGCTCCTGCCATAGCCACGTGTCACCTCTCCAGCCGGGAGAGGGTCGCGGGACTATGGCTTCTTCGCTCCATAGGACGCACACACATTTCCCCTTCATTTTTGAAGGGGGAAAAGTGCGCCCTATAGAGCGAAAAATACGGTAAATTGCATTCCAAATGTAAGCATTTAGAGGAAATAGTCTCTGAAGAGTTGAGTACTATTGATGGATTAGTTGCACCTGAGTGTCCCAAGTTTTGGTGTAAAGAGAACTTACACTTCAAGTTTTCTAATTTGAGATGTTTTCTGATAATAGAAATAGTCATCTGGTCTACTGACTGACTTCTATACCTGCTAACCAGCAGAAATGATGGTATTAGATGGTGCTTTTTGCCACCACTTCAAGACTTGTCAGAAGTCCCTGAGCATTTGGAATGACTCTGTGTGGCAAAATTGGAGGTGTGGAGATAAGAGTAATTGCCTGTGTAGAGAAACTTTATTTTAATGTTATGGTGGTGGTAAAACTGCTTAGAGGTTTTATTTACAATTAAGCAATATATAAATTTTGTTAAATAATTTATATTAAAATACTGCTTGGCATACATATTTAACTGCGTGAAGAAGGAAACCCTTGTCTTTTGCTCCAGGCTAGAGCCAAATAATATATACATAGTACATAGCATATGAATTCTGTTGGCAGCCTGCCATTTGGCAGTCAAACTGTCACAGTTGCCCACTGTTTATAAGGTTACAGCGATGTGCAGGCAAGGATTCAACTTTTATGTATGGGGCAGTAGCATCTAAGTAGTCAGTTTTGTTGTTTAGTCGTGTCCGACTCTTCGTGACCCCATGGACCAGAGCACGCCAGGCACTCCTGTCTTCCACTACCTCCTGCAGTTTGGTCAAACTCATGTTGGTAGCTTTGAGAACACTGTCCAACCATCTCGTCCTCTGTCATTCCCTTCTCCTTGTGCCCTCAATCTTTCCCAACATCAGGGTCTTTTCCAGGGAGTCGTCTCTTCTCATGAGGTGGCCAAAGAAAGAATTGGAGCCTCAGCTTCAGGAACTGTCCTTCCAGTGAGCACTCAGGGCTGATTTCCTTAAGAATGGATAGGTTTAATCTTCTTGCAGTCCATGGGACTCTCAAGAGTCTCCTCCTCCAGCACCAGAATTCAAAAGCATCAATTCTTCGGCGATCAGCCTTCTTTATGGTCCAGCTCTCACTTCCATAGTGGACATTCCATTCAAATCTATTGGCCCATAATTATAGGTTTTGAATCTAGCAGAAACATGTTGATTGGTTGGAGGTCCTGGCCGAAGGGTATATAAAGCTAAGCTCAGTGCTGTTTCAGAGCCAGTTGGGCAGTCTGAGGAAACGTTAAGGAAGCCTGGAGTGAGATCCTGAAGCAGCAGCATACCTGAAGAGTATGGGATCAGCCTAGAGGCTGAAATCATGGAAGACAGAAGTGAAGAAGCTCTGCAAGAGAGGAGTTGGAAGGCTTCCAGCAACAGCTTTGGGGTATAACTGAGGACAGTGTGGCTGTAGCTGTCAGTTGACCGCAGGAAGCAGCGAGTTCCTGGTTGTGTAAGGCTGTGAACCCTGTCCAGAAGGAAGACGTCAAGTAAAGCCTGTTGAACAAGCCTGTGAGTTTACTGAGGTGGACTTACGAAGGGCAGCTGGTTATGGTTATCTGTGTGGCTGCAGAAACTAAAACAAGCATCCAGACATCTTAAATCAACACCATTAAGCAACAATAACATCAACTACTGAACCAAGTCTAATAACCTAGCTGTAAGGAAACATATATTATAAGTAAGATTTATTATTTATCTTACCTTCAGCTTTTAACTACAAATCTCTGGTCTGTTTGTTCCATGCCAATACCCAGCTACGATACGTTTGAAGGATGAAAGGTGAATGAAAGTATTGAAATACATGGTATTAGTGGAACTAAAAAGGAGATTAAGAGGGCAGGTAATTTATCATGGTGACACAATTGGTGGAATGAGAAAATGCCAGGACTACAGTTTCTGGCTAAGTGGAGAGGGTGGTGGGATAGTAAATAGTAGTGGGGTGTTTTTTTAATAATTAAAAAACCTAGTTGAATCCAGTAAATTTTTGTTTCCTGTGTGCTACGTTGTATCCCTGTAGCAGTACTAATTCATATCCTTTCCAGTTACGTCGGGTATTGCTTGCTGTGGTAAAACATGAGCAAAGGTTACCCTATTTACGCCAATCTAATGCTCCATTGAATCTAACGCGCACCTCAGTTTTCAAAACCAAATAAGTATTTCCTAGCAAATGTAAATGCGCCATCAAATCTACTAACGTGTACCCTAATTTTCACGATGTGATTTGGCCCCCCAAAAAGTGTGCATTACTTTTGAGTCAATATGGTAATATCCCCCCTGGAAAACATCCTTAAGTCTGAGACATGGCATGTGGCTAATCTTCTCTTCTCTTCTCTTCTCTTCTCTTCTCTTCTCTTCTCTTCTCTTCTCTTCTCTTCTCTTCTTGGCTCCTCCCTTCAACTTATTTCAAGAAAGCATTTGGCAGTATCAGACTCAGCATATGCTGCACCATAAAGCAAATACTGCATGCCCAGTAATTTTCTAATAGCTATTGCTTTAATTATTCCCTTATATGCATTCCACATAAACCATTCTATTTGTATGCAGTGCAGCAATTAGGGGTGGGTGAGCCATATTGCACAAATCTGCAAAACACGAAAGGGGGAAGCTGTTAATAGGCTCTCCCAGGTTGCAGCGGATACGTAGAGAGCAGCGGAGGCAGCTCATACAGGCATCTCGGCAGGTGTCGTCAACATTTTATGTTGAAAAGCCAGATGCGGCCAGATGGAAAATTGCATCTTTAACCCCTGAGGTCATGCAGCGTGTCACCACTTTGCTTGATCCTCCTGCTAAGCGAGCTTATAACATCCCCTGCTGTCAACCTTGTTACTGCTTTAGTTTTCACAATAGAATTAAAATTAATTTGTCAGGGGTTTTTTCCTCCCTTTTTCTTTTTGGTCAAGTATTTAGGAAGTGGCACTAAATGCTGC